TCAAAACCTATAAATTTCATCCTATTGCTCCATTATTACTTCCAATTGATTGATTGCAACATGAATAATCTTCAATTGCTACGAAATAACTGTAATTAAGCTCAAAATCATCACTTTTTTTCTCCAGTTACATTCACATTTGATCTTCCCCTACAATTTGTTGAACTATGGTTGATTCTATGCTTTGATTATAATAAACAAATTGCTTTTTATCTCTAACATTTGAATTCGAGTCATCATAGCTTTTGTTGCAAAATTGGTCAATTGAAGACAAGGAGATTGCTATCGAAAGAATCTCAATTGATATTCAATGAAAATCGAGATGAAAGCCAAGCATTCATATCAAATCAATCAAAGACAAGTGTTTCAATGACCAAACATCGAAGACATTAGATTTAGATGCTTTTTGGATTCACATGTAATGGTAAAATGATTTAATCCTTGGCAATGAATCATTAAAAGCTCAAGATGAATTTTTATGCCCAAGAAAAATTGATTCTTAAAAATGCTTGCATAAAATTATTTTTCAAAAGGTAAGCATCTCAACTTGATATTCAAATTTCTCACAAATGTAACTTACCTTGAAAAATAAAGTGAAAACATCATTCAAAAGTCTACATTTTTCAAAACAGTGAAAGAAGGAAAAATTCAGGAAAACTATCCAAGCAGATGTCCGGTTCGTCAAACGGTCGAATTTTTTAACCGTTCTAAAATTCTAACACACAACAACTAGTTCAATGTCTGATTCAGAAGCAGATAGTTGGTCAAAATTTTTGACCTTTTTACTGCTATAAATACCACTCACTTTCCATTCATTCATATACTTTTAAGAGAATTAAGTGAGATACATTTTGAGAGAATTCTTTGAGGCTACATTGCACTCATTTCATTTATTTTTTCATATAAAAAATTTCGATTGATTTAAACTCTTTTCATCATTGTAATCAAAGTTTTTCATATCTTTTTTTGTATTTAATTTATTCTATCAATCTTAAAAGAGAGATATATTTGGAAGAAAAGTTTTAAACTTACATTGTATCATTTCTACTTCTCTATATCAAAACTTTGATTTGTTGAATCAAATTTGTAAAATCATAGTACTCATCAAAGTTCCTCATCTCTCTTTTGGTACTTAGTTTATTGCCATTATTCATTAAAAGAGAGATACATTTTGAGAAGACTTTGATTTACCTTGCATTTATTTCTTTTTCATTTTCTCAATGAAAAACTTTGATTAATTGAATTAAACTTTGAAATCATCATATTCATCAAGATTTTCTCATTTAAAACTTGAGCTATCATTCGTTGCTATTCATTAAAGTATTAGTCTCTCTTAGTACTTAATTTATTTGTATTATTTATCAATGGAGGAGTTCCTTGTAAATTTATGTTGTTATACTAGTGGGGTTATATTGAGGTTCCGCAAAACTCAATAGTGAGGTTATTGAGTTCCCTTCAAACTTAATAGTGTGAGTCATATTGAAATCCCGTAAAGCTTAATATTGTATAAGGATTTATGCTTCTTATTTCTAAGTCATTGAAAGCGTTGTAAAGGGTTGAATTGCAAGTCAATGAATGTAGTGAAAAGCCTTACTCGTGTTGAAGAGCTTGGTAACGAATGACGTAGATCATTATTTTGAATTAAAGCTCCACAATTATATTGTTTGCATCCTCTGTTCCCTTTTACTTATCGCTTCATATTTGTGGTTATTTGAATTAATCTATTTAATCTTTACTTAATTGAATGTAGATTAATTCTTTGAAAAAAATTTTAAAATCAAATCACCCCCTTTTGATCAGTTATTCTTGAACTTTCACAATTTACATAATTTCATTTAATTAGGTTAAAATTCATTGAATTAGTCATAAGTTATCAAGATTAAAAGTACGTATAAGTGCATAATATTGTTACTTTTATGCACTTTACACATCTGGTAAACGTAATTGATTTTGATAAGTTGATCTTTTAATGTTGAAAAAATTGTACACAAAATACCTTAAATGTAGAGCGACATACTTCGAAAGTACAAGTTCACGATGAGAGCAATTCTTCATAAAAACAATAAATTATCCCAAAAAAAAAAATCATATTCATTTTCGAAATCAATTAATGTTCTTCTAAATTCATTTCAAGACGATGACAAATCATCATTTCAAGACTGTTATATGATACTTTAAACTATATGAACTTTTGGTCAATTATACTTTTATCAACACATTTTGTAGGACTCATAATTACTAAGTTTTATTCACACATTTTGTAGAAGAAAAATGCTAGTGGTACATAATAGAATGTACCTAAGGGTGTACACCCTCCTCACATGGGGTGTGGGGTCCACTCGAATAAATGTTTTTTATTCAGGTGGATCCCACACTCCATGTGAGAGGGGTGTACACGCTTAGGTACACCCCTGTGTACCACTAGCACCACCGTTTGTAGAATCCGTTGCTAAAATTATTATTTAAACGCTTCCAAGTCCCAAACAAACACTAATTTTGATCAATAAACTTCTTAAAAAGTAATTTTTAATATATCCTTACACACACTTTGAAACTTGCCAACGTTCTCTCTTAAGTTAAATTTCCGTCCAAATTATTGAGTTAATTTCATAATTTATCACTGAAGTGAGTCTTTAAAGTACATTTCTAAGATGTTTAATAGCTAAAGGTTATTTCACATTAGACAAATTGTCACGAAGTACATAAAATAATGCCAATCCTATGTTTCACATTAGACAAATTGTCACCAAGTAATAAAAATAATGCCTATTTGTATGTCTCCCATTGAATATAAAGGTTGGCTAATGGACGGGCTGGAAAATTAGACTGTTATAAATATCTCTCAAATATTTCTCGATTTAATACTAATCCATCATCAATCACCCATGGTAAAAACAACGTTATAGTAAAGTTATGATCTTGTGAAAATAATTCTTGTGACAAATTTAGGGAGACCACTTGACACCTCCAAGCACACTTATTATTCACTAACTGAATAATCATTTATGTAATGTTACAAAATTAGTTTTTGGGCCATCTTGATAAAACTTAATAAAATATAGGGAAAATTATATAAGTAAGAGATTAATTATAGCACATTTCAAAAATAAGAAAATAAGTTTTAAATTTCAAAAATCAGATTTTTATTAAAAATTATTTATAATTTAATTAATTAATTATTTTAGTAATTAAATATATTTAAGTCACATATTCATGTAATTTGGTCACAAATTAATTATTTAATTGTCATTTATTATTTTTTGGTCATAAATCAGAAATTTTATATCAAAAATTATTTTACCGTCACAATTCAAAAATTTTATAGGTCACAGTTTATTCATCGGTTACCAATTGAAAATTTTATAAGTCATGATTTATTTATTGGTCATAAATTACAAATATTACAAGTCACAACTTATTATACAGTCACAAATTATCAAATTATTGGTTACAGATTAACAATTTTTTAGGTCACACATTATTTTTCAATCACAATTTATCTTTTTCATTGATCACATATTATTTATTGGTCACAGATTAACTAATTCAATGGTCACAATCAACCAAATAATTTGTGATCACTATCAACACTTACAATTCACAGTCACAATTTTCAAGTCACGTATCTAATTGTGAGTCACACTCACAATTTTTATGTCAACATATCCAATTGTGAATCACAAATAAACCAAACTGCCACGAACACCGCCATGACCACTGCTACGGCCAACCATGACTCCCAAATTGTGAGTTACAATTGGGAGTCACAATTTCAATTTTCAAGTCACGAGTTCAATTATTTGTCACAAAATCAACCAAATCGCCACGATTGCCACAACTACAACTACCATCGTCACCACAAAATCGTGCAGATCACCAACATTAGGCCATCGCCATCGCCATCGCCATCGCGCACACACCGTCGCCGCAACACACGCGCAAAAACTTTCAACGACAAAACTTTCCTATATACACCACCACCACAATTTTCAACACAAAACCCACCCAAAAAGAGACCAACAACACCACCATCACCACAACCTCAGAGCACCGCAAACACCAGATCCACCACTAGATCGCGATTTCAACGACAAAACTTTCCCATATCCACCACCACCACAATTTTCAACACAAAACCCACCCAAAAAGAGACCAACACCACCACCACCACCACAATTTTCAACACAAAACCCACCACAACCTCAGAGCACCGCAAACACCACATCCACCACTAGATCGCGACTAGATCGTGACCAAAATTTCCCCATATCGCAACCAACAAAACTTCGGTACCAAATTGCAATTGCCGAGCGGCAATAAACATTGCACAGCGCCCACAGTTGCAACGCGACAATGCAGCAGCAATGTTGCAATGTGCACAGCAATGCAGTGGCAACGCGTCATCTGCATATCCATCGTTGCGATATCCATAAATCGTGATCTGCCACAAAATCGTGTAAATCTGCGTATAGCCATATCAACCATTGTCGCGATCTTCTGTATATGCCAGATTTTGCCTCAGATCTACTGCACTTGCTCTCTCTGTAGCTGCGACGGCGAGAGAGTTGAGAGAGAGAGAGAGAGAGAGAGAGAATTGAGATGGGAGGAAATGAGATGAGAGAGAGAGAGACGTGAGATAAAGGGTTGGCAAGAGAGTCGAGCTTTCGACGAATTGAGAGAGAGAAAGGGAAGAAGGGAATTGAGATTGATATAATTGGAGTTTGAAATTGCTTTAATTAATTAATTTTTAAATATATTAATTAATTAAAAGAATTTCTGATTTGTAAAATACTAAATATGACATCTTATTTATGAAATGAAAATTTTTAATCTATTAGAATCTGTAATTTTTACTAAAATATACTCTTTAATTAATTATATTAAAAGAAATGAGAAATCTTTTATTATTATTATTGTTGTTGTTGTTATTATTTATCCTTTCTTTTGGGGTATAGGGGTTATGGTTTAGGGGTGTACTCATCAAAGTATTTCATTTTGTATAGATGTACATATTATTAACTACTTATAGTGGTAGTACAACTACTTAAATAAATAATAACTAATTATTTTTATTCCTCGTCGGCGTTTCGACGGAATCTTCCATTTCCTCGCCGTCGTTTCCTGCCGGAAAATTCCTATCTATCATTTCTACTCCACACCCTTTTTCAACTTACTTTCCTTTAAGTTAGTAAGCTTTCCTTTTTCCCCTTAATTTTTAATTACTATTCATAATATATGTATTTGTACTATAGATTTGCTTTATAGACGAAACCTTATTCTTTGTAGATCTGAAACAAATTTGAGGATCAGAAAAGCATTTGGTGATCTGGGTCTGGTTTATTCGAATCTCAGTAAGTTTTTTTCCGTTTTCTTTCTAATTTTGGTTAATTATTTTTTTTGACCTGAAATTGGTGAAATTATCGTTTTTCTTTTGGTTTTTTGATTATTAATCTTGTCTTAGCTTGATTTGAACACTACGGGTAGATTGTGATGGTTTACTTGTTTTTTATACTTGTTGAACTAAGATTGAAACTGTTTGACTTGGGAAGAATATCTTTGAAGAGTGAGTATAATTAAATTTAAGTATGCTTGAACTTCAGTGGCTATGAAGATTTGTAATAATTAGATTTGATGAGTATAGAATTATTTTTATGTATAGAAATTCACTTATTTTCAAGTAATACATATGGAATAAAATTAAGTTAAGAAAAGGGAAATTAGAGTTATCATCAGTGTTTTAAAATGCGCAGAATTGTAACGCAAGCTGTTTGAGTATCGGACTTTGAATGAGGTCCATCAGATGCTGCCTGTAATTTTCATTTAATAATTTGGGTTTGAATTCTGAAAGTTGAAATGGAACCGGATATAGACAAAGCGCTCAGAGCCAAAGCAAATGCAGAAAAAAAATTTGCCGAGAAAGACTTTGTAGGTGCCAGGGATTATGCTGTAAAAGCTCAAAAGCTGTGTCCTCGACTGGAAGGTATAGCTCAAATGGTGGCTACATACGGAGTTTACATTGCTGCTGAGAAAAAAATTAATGGAGAATTTGACTTCTATTCGATCCTTGGATTAGATCCATCTGTGGACAAGTCGAAATTAAAGAAACAGTACAAAAAGATGGCAGTGTTGCTCCACCCTGACAAGAATAAAACTGTTGGAGCTGATGGGGCATTCAGGCTTGTCTCTGAGGCATGGACACTTCTATCTGATAACGTCAAAAGGAGCTCTTATGATCATCGGAGGAATTTGTTTACTGGACAGAATGTTGGGGCTGGTGTTTATGACAGTTATTCCAAGTTTTCAGGTTCCCATAGGATACTTGATACATTTTGGACAGTCTGTACATCTTGTCACGTTCAATACGAGTATCTCAGGAAGTATGTGAACAAGCGGCTCTCTTGTAAGAACTGCCGTGGTGTCTTTATTGCTATTGAAACTGGACTAGCCCCGGTGGATGGTTCTTTCTCATATGGCTCTTGCTATGTTCCTGAAAGTGTTTATGGAAATCATGGCTGTGGAGCTACATATATACCAATGACCACTGGACTTTGTGCACCTAATGGAGTTTCGGGACATCATATGGGACATAGATCAGAGTGTGTCTCCAATATATCGTTCCAACGTAACTCATTCTCTGAAAAGTCTGTAGGTACTTTAGATCCTAATGGATTATCTACTTCCTCTCTAGTCTTTTGTCAAGCAAATAGAAAGGCAAATAAAACAAAACCCAATGGAAAACATCATGTGGTCTCTAATGCATGTACTGGTTCTAATGGAATATCAGGATCCAAGCGCGGTAGACCTGCCAAGAAGAGAAAAGTGGACTCAGGAAGTATTTGTGCCAGTGGACATGAAGATTTGCCTCCAAAAAGTGCTGCAGAAGTGAAAACTGCCAATGGGAATGGAAATTTGGATCCTAATTCTAAACTTCCCTTCCCATCTGAGACTTCAATTAAACGCTCTGCAGTTGCCCCCACTGCATTTGATGCTAGACAGTTGTTGATTGATAAAGCAAGATCAGAAATCCACGGGAAACTAGAAGAGATAAGGTTGACTTCAGAAGCAGAAGTTGCAGAGGCCAAGAAGAGAACACATACTAAAGTTGATAAATGCTGTGAGGCTGCTATAATATCAGGTTCAATTGGTACTGGTCATCGAGCAGAACTGAAGAGAGCTATTTCGATGTCAATAACAGTACCGGACTCAGATTTCCATGATTTTGACAAAGATAGATCAGAAGAATGTTTTAAACCGAAGCAGATATGGGCCCTTTATGATGAAGATGGTATGCCTCGTTTGTATTGTCTAATCCGCGAGGTCGTCTCAATTAGGCCATTTAAGATTTTTATCAGCTATTTGAGCTCAAAATCTGATAGTGAGTTTGGGTCTGTAAATTGGTTGGTTTCAGGGTTTACCAAATCTTGTGGGAATTTTAGAGCGTTCAACTCTGAAATTATCGAGCAAGTGAACATATTCTCTCATCTTCTTAGCAGGGAGAAGGCTGGTAGAGGAGGTTGTGTTAGAATCTACCCCAGAAGTGGAGACATTTGGGCCGTATACCGTAACTGGTCACCGGACTGGAACAGGAAAACTCCGAATGAAGTAAGGCACCGGTACGAAATGGTTGAGGTTCTTGATAACTATTCTGAAGATCATGGTGTGTGCGTAACTCCTCTAGTTAAGCTTGATGCATTCAAGACTGTGTACCAGAGGAATATGAACAAAGATGCCGTTCAATGGATTCCAAGAAAAGAGATGTTACGGTTTTCTCATCAGGTGCCGTCTTGTTTACTTAAGGTAGAAGGCACTAACTTGCCCGAGGGTTGCTGGGATCTCGACCCTGCTGCAATTCCCGAAGAGCTTCTTCTGGTAGAACCTGAGGTTTGCAACAGTGTAAGCCATGGTCAGACACAGAAGTTCGTTGATGCTCCAGATGAAAAATGCCCTGCTGAATTTGAAGGACAGGCTGTTGAAAAGTTTAGTCAAATAAAAAACATAACTTCGAGTCCAGACAAGTGGCATGGTGTTGTAGGTGATGCATTCAAAGCATCCTCAGAATGAAATGGGCATGAAGTCTTAAGGAAGAGATACGGTAATGCATGAATCTGATGCTATCACAGAAGAGCTTCTTCACCTTAAGCTGGAAAATACGAAGAAAGAGATGCCAAAGCAGAGACTGAAGTTTGGCAGGTTATTTCATTATCATACAGCATTTAGAATTGGTGATAGTGTACTGATCGAAACGCTGTCCTGAACCTGATATGGAGAAATAAAATTGTTGGAGAATCGAAACTGATCCGTACTGCAAGTATTGTTTTCGGCTGTTTAGCAATCTGCAACAAAAATTCAGATCTATTAACCGCTCGTTTATAGAAATGCTTCTTATATTCGATTTCTCGCAACATTCTTAGGAATAATGTGATGGGATTATTTTGCCAAATGTGAGCACTCAAGTGACTCTGTTGTTAGTTCATTTTTATGTATACTGTTTTTGCTGCACGACTTTATAAATTATTTGAAGGGCAGAATAGTCTTTTACTTATTTGTCTTTTATGTGAAGGGATTATAATCCCACATCGGTAAAATACCGAAATAATGACCAATATATAAAGGATTGGAACACTCCTCTTAATAAGGAGATGGACTCCAAATCTTAACATGGTATCAGAGCCCAGTAAACTCCAACGAGCGATTCGATCCGATTAAGTCTCTAAAAATGAGCATACGGATTTCAAGATTGGTCTGCTCAAACGAACCACCATCTTGCGGGAGCATGTTAAGGGAGTATAATCTCACATCGGTAAAATACCGAAATAATGACCAATATATAAAAGATTGGGACACTCCTCTTAATAAGGTTGACCTTATTAAGATAGATCCCAAATCTTAACATTTTACACAATCATGCTACTCTGCCAGCTAATTTGATAGAAAGGTCGACCTATTGTCACATAGCATTCTATTCTTGGATTGTTTAAAACGTAGTCAATTTTTTCATTCAATCATCTGTTGTGACTTACACTTCTGTCACTATAAGTGTCAAAATCCTCCTGACGAAGTGGCATGACCCTTTTATCAAAGCGTACACGTTGGAAGTTTTTACAGTAAGCCTCTTTTTTTTTTTTTTTCCTTCGACACTGAGTAACTTTTTAAAAGAAAATTAAGCCAGATATCTGCATGTTAACTAGGGAACATCAATCTTTTTTTTATTGAAAACTAAATAATTCACACTATATCCAAAAAAAGATTAAAAGACGGGAAAAAAAAATATATAATACTCCATTAATTGTCTTTTCTTTTTGAATGAATATCATAGTAAAAATGCCAATAATAAATCAAATCATAATAAATGCTACTCATAAATAAAAATGATATCATTGACTCCCATCACACGTTCACAGCTTTGCAAAAGAGCATCAACGAGGAGGAGGAGGAGGCGGAGGAGGCCGAGTCACCTCCAAGTTGACCGCCGCCACCACCACCACCAAGCAAAACCTTCTCATAATAGTCAACACAGAACAAAGACAGAGAGAGTTCCATCTCATGCCGAGTCCAAACTCTGTTGAACTCACGTACCTCCCGTACTTGCTTCACACAGCCCATGTACAGCCTCCGGTAGCCACCCAATGCCACCACCACAGCCCGCACACCCTCCGGCGGCGGTGAGAGCTGGCGGAAGCACATGTGTTCCCAAAACGAGTCATTCTGAGTTAACGAGCACCACGTCTTGCAAACACAAGCAGCCACACCGAGCGAGCGATCATCGAGTCTCTTCAATATCTCTATCAGAACATCCACATTATCGTTGATAAAAAACTCGGGCATCTTCTCTGTTTCATCCACCATATCGAACTCGCCGAACCCGGATACAGAAAATAATTAGTGAGTTGAGAGAGAAGTGAAAAGTGTATTTGTAGAGTGAATAGAAGAGAGAGAGGGAGAGAGTATCGAAGCTAGAAAGAAAAAGGCCAAAAGGGAAATTCCAAGAAGAAAACTGGAATCAAGATCTTGAAAAGAATAGCTAAAGGAGCTGAGTGCCGTTGTGAGTTTGTCAAAGTAAACGTTGTAGCATGGAAGCTCTCAAAATCAACATATTCTGCATGCAAACAAAAAATCATTTATGGACAAGAATCACCCACCAAAATGGTCAGGCTGCTAGGTCATACTGTTGAACTATAGGTCCATATTATGAATACTCTCGACAAGAAATTTTGCTATTCAAATAGAAGCCTGTGACAGTATGAGCTGAAATTTGAATTTTCAAATCAAGGGCTGAGATGGTGCTTTAGTCTTGTCACAGGCTACTCCTTGTGTAACAAGGTTGCTCAACAAGTAGGACCAAAGTATATGTTACCTCGTTATCCGTCAAGAAGTGTAGGTGTAAACAATTTACATTCAAGTAGCCTAATTGCAACAAGTATATCCTACCCTGAAGATCAAACATTAAGAGAAATCATCTCATCATACATTAAAGAAAAATTAAGACAAAGGAAATTAATGACAGCATGTTGAACAAAAATTCAAAATTGTGATCATAATTGATTTGGGAAGTACTACTTTCCTGAAAAACAGTTTGATCCATTAGCTAGCATCTCCAATCAATTTATCTCTCTCTCTCTCTCTCTCTCTCACACACACACACACACACTCTCTCTCTCTCTCTCTCTGGGCTTGGCGGTTGCCCCGACAATTGGGTATAGGTTGCGCACTTTAATGCCATCCATTTTCGGGGCTAGTTGATTTGACAGACTTGATCTTCTACTCTTGACAGTATAAAAACCCCTTACTATTAATGCGGTAAAAAAAATTTACTTATATTTTGCCAATTGAAAGTTTTATCCTGTCCACTGTGGATAGATCATCAATTTCATTATCTAGAATTTGATGTATTGGAACCAAAACCAATTAACACTCGCTCATTTCCATTTCAATTCTTTTTACACTTCATAAAAATCAAACGGGTGATTTTCTCCCCCACTACGGATCCCATACTACCCCCCCTAAACTGAAAATCCATAACCCCAATTGCTACGGAAATACCATTTAGTTGACCTATGCCTGTTTGAACAGCCTCAGTTAATCCTGTCTTTCTTTGATAAGAATCAATACGATCTTTATATGGCTCCTCCTCCGAATGAAATCCAATGGGATCCAGAGAGACCATGTCTTCATCCATAGGATGCCAAGTACTGGGATCGATCGAAAATTCGATTCTATTGCTCAACAATTTAGGAGAATTTTAACTTGACCGTCCTATTTATTGTATGTAGAGACCGGTCAGCCGGTTAGGCTGTGACATATTATGCACCAAATCTGGACTTACTTTGTGCATTTGAAAAATTAAAAATAAATAAAATTGACAACTAAATACACAAGCAAATTTGCAATCAATGCATACAATAAAAGATCCAAGGAACCAAAATTTTAATTCAAGTTACATTTGTATTCGTAACCTAAAAGTCAACGGTGTAAAATCCTTGAGTGCCTCCCTTAATATTTTATTGATTAAACAAGACGAGTGTGACACTTGACTTAATATTTTATTATTCCCAAACTATATAATGATATTTCACATTAGATTCCTCAGCCAAATTATGACATATGACAACAATACAAGGCAGACAGAAGAAGTTCGTCTTTAACCTTTATTATTAAGTTGAACAATAAAAATTTTTAAGATAGAAATCGTTATATAATTATTACATACGAACATTTATCATTTCAAATATTTGGGTATTAGCGAAAAGTTGATAGATAAAATCAATATTCATGAAATATGTTTTGATAGGTGTGGATTATGTGATAAGTTGTTTTTAGTTTTAAAATTTGATTGTTGAAACTATAACAAAAGGTTGAGGATCGATTTATCATTTATAAATGTTGTGGACCAACTTGCTATAGAATAATAAGCTGAGTATAATTAGTGCAAATTTCTTAATATAATTTTTAAGTGATTGGTTCTTATCTAAACAAATTCCCTCATTTCCGAAGCACTCAATGGAGGCCACATTAAAACCACTTGGAGGCATTATATGTAGACATCTAGCAGTAATTAAAAAAAAGGGAACAAGTTGCTCTCTGGTTGAAGCACTATACCTTCATTCGAAGTCACTTGTCGAAGCACTCTCTCTTCTGACCGAACCTCTGCACATCAGAAGCTATCCTTAAAGTCGAAGCACTTGCTACCTTTAACACGAATCTGAAGAGTGTCTATAGGATTGATTGATGTAACGTTTATATTAATAAATGTCAGAAATGTCAACCTAAAGTGTAGGACGACCGACTCCTTGTCAATGTAATTAATGTATGGTAGAGAGTAATGTGAGGCTCCGATTGGGATGAGGCACGTGGTTCTGATCCAATAGTGACCACGTCGGCTTTAATCCTATAAATAGCAACTCTTAAAACATATAAAATAATAGAAAAAATATACCTAAACTTCATATACTTGAAATTATAATCCTCTCCCCCCCCCCCACCACCCCCACTCACTGGTCCTTTGCTTTTGGAGCTTGGATTCATTTTATAGAGTTGTTTGCAATAGAATTTTGATTTTGCAATTATCCTCGATCACGTTGCCGGTATCTGAACGTTTTTGTCTCGTGTCGTAAAAATATCTCACGTCCATTGTTGCCATGATTTTCTGAACTTGTCTCCGATTAAACGTGTCGGAAGTTGCTTATGTGGACACAAGTGGATTCGGCATTTATTGTTCACGTTGTCATTGCGAAAAACGGGGTCAAAACTTTATAAAACTAATTTTGCGTATGTTGAAGTTGACACTTGATATTAGAGAAATCACGCTGAACAATAAACATGATTGAATCTCTCTCTCTTTTAACTATTGTTAATAGTGTGAAATCTATAGTATCATTATCTAATTCATCTAATTCATAATATATATTTGATATTCACAGACGACAAGTGAGCATAACGGCCCTCCTTCCATTCCACTGAAGATTTTCAAGAGGCGAGGTGGGGTTGTTTGGGGCAGGAAATTTGTTCCCCATCTTTGTTATTGACTAACCGAAGAATCCCTAGCCATTCGAGGTGGGGTTAGGATGGAGTGAGGTTGGGACATTTTGTCATATCTAATCATCACTATAATTGTAAAATTATCTTTTTTCTTAGTTCATTTTTGGTAGGGATTCAAATTTGAATTTGAATTTAATTTAAAGCCAACAATTAATTTTAACCATACGTTTCATGAAATTTTGGACTTTTAATTCACATATTTTTTATCAACTTTTATTAAAATTTACTAAAAATATGATTTTAATCCTCATCAAGAAGCTTAATATTGTCTAATACAGTACGATCGACTTTATTAAAGCCGTATTCGTCTCCATATGATTGTCTTGTAGATCTATAAAGGAAACCCTAAAAGTCCTACAACTATGAGACAGAAAGCACATATTTTTAAAATAGGGATTCGAATCAGAGTGAAATTGACAATACATCTTTTCATTATATTGATTGTTTTGTATAGGGGTTGGATTTGGATTTGTTTGGTGGACATAAGTGAAACGACACAGTTTCTGATTCCAAACTCAGAATTTGATGCTTGCAATCCTACAAGAGAGCCCCGTAAAGTCCGCTTACACTTTTTACATTGGATCTTACCCTTTTCACTGCGAGGGGAAAAATGATTTTCTTGATATCCATTGGAGACTACTTTTCTCCATTTCAAAAACCCTTTGTTTATGTCAAAATTTAATTGAGTTGACCGATTTCAGTTTGATCCAGATTTTCATGGTCGTGCTCGATCTATCAATTGGATTCGGAATTGCTAAAGTTCAAGTAATGTGTTATGTACACCTCAAGCATACCATTTTGATTATGGCTTCTCTAGAAGTTCAAATTCATTAACTTAGAGGTTCTCGAGTGACCAAGATAAAACCGAAAATTTTCCGATTCCTAGACACCTTCTCACTTTCTTTCCACTTGAGTCTTGTTACAACTTAATACGTAGATTAGAATTAGAGCTTCAAAACATTTAAGTGAATAGCACTAAGCCCCCGTTTGGCCCCCATTTCGTGGAGATGAAAATGAGTGAAATATTATTTTTTTCAATTTACGTGTTATATTATTTTATGGAAGATTGTGTGATTGAAAATAAGAAAGAGAAAAATGTAATGTAATTAAATGAAAATTAATTGGGGCCAACGGGAAGAAACTCGGACATTGCTGAAGTCACACTAATAATCTTGTCCAGTAAATTTAATTTAGAGTGAAAATTCTCGTCTTCTCAAGTAATACTACCCACTACATATTTTAATAAAATAGTTCAGACAATAATAATAATAATAATTAAATATCAAATAATCCAATAACGCAAGTCAATGTAAGTTTAAAATATATAGAAACACACACACAAAATAATATTAAATATATAGACTTGTGTGAAGTGTAAACAAAGGATAAAAGATAAGCAGATAAAGACTTAGAAAAGAAACAAATGAAATTCTAACTGCTATTTTAGAAGAAAGCTCAAAACTGCGGAATCAAAAACTGAACTTGTTTGATTTGTTAAAATGTTGATAGAAATTAACGTATGTACTTTTATCTGATTGTTATCGTTGTTGTTGTTTTTCATATGCTCAATCAAAGAGTATTCAATTCAATATTTTCACTTAGAAACATCCTAATTCAAGATACACAAGTCATCTGAATTATTGCATACATGTTAGTATTTATCTTGAAACTTGAATATATGAGTTCAGATATTTTAAAGTGTAAAAACTCATTAACATCATTATAATTGTTACGTTTCCTCAGACGAGGCTCTAGAGAATGTCACGTGACAGCTAGCCAGCAAGAATACACAGGTCCACACTCCACAACACTGTCATATTTGGTTGAACTGAGATCATATATATGATAATTGAAGTGATGTATCACATCCGCGGAGGTGCCTGTAGGGATTTTCTGTTCCATACGTGCCATTAAGGCAGTATTGACCTTGCTCATGCTCCTTAGGCCCAGGCTTCCTTTCTCTGTTTTTTATTTTTTTATATTTTTATTTTTATTTTAATAACAAGTTTCACCAAGGAAATTCAAGTTTCACTGGGGTGCCAAAAAGGAATAATTTTTC